GACAGACAGAGAGATAGAGAGAGACAGAGGGACAGACGTAAAAGTAGGAATGCAACAGCGTTTCTGTTGCATTAGAATATTATGGGATGGTAATGATTCATCCAGGTATTAGTCAGACCCTCAGGTGTTACCATTGTAGAAAACATAATGATAATCTTATTTAACTGACTGTGGTATGATCGGGATGAAGCACTGCACAGTCCTGATCAATGACAGCTGAGACACTGTGGATCCGGACTGTGGGAGCTGGTCTGCAGTGGTAATAAAGAGAGGTGGAGACTGTCTCTGCTGGGACTAATACAACAGTACAGAGTGTATCTGAGTCAGTGTTTGTCCCAGAGGACCAGACTGTCCAACCACCAGCCACTAACAGCTCCACCAACACACATTCAGACCCCCTCCTGCAGGTGAAAGCTCCAGAGCCATAAATCAGTCAGCTTCAGTTTCTGAGTTCTGACACACGGACTCACAGCTTGATGTTCCTGACCTCCGACCTCCTGACGGACAGCTGGAGGAACATCAACATCATCAAACAGTGGCTTCTTCCTCTCTGTCGGAGCCCGTCAGCCATGGCCCATCAGGCCTTTCTGCCACACTGTGCTCAGAAGGACCAACGTTAGTCTGCAGGAGAACCAGAGACCTCCTGGATCCTCATTCTTCACGTATATTTGATCATCTTCATGTATCAGAAGTTGTGTCATCCAAACGTGAATGTGATGTGACTTTGTTGCTTTGGTGGAGTTTGACAGAGGATGAATGTAGAGACTGTATAAATAATATCTGAGGGGCCAATATCTGGCGTAGAGAGGATGAAGGGGAAGCCTGCGGCCCCTCTCCAGTTGGCTCCTGTGGCTCTGACACATTTCTCTGTGCGACGTCCAGCAGAAGCAGCTGAAGCACGACCAACGCCCTCCTTCATCAGGATGACCTCACTGACCATGTGAGGGTCACAGTTATTCTTGTGAACACAGCACACATCTGTCTTTCCTGTCTCTGCATCGACATTCAGACGAGAATTAGTTGGTTGGTGGTATGAGAATCCACCTCGCCTAAAGCCGTAACAACCTCAGATATGGCACGTTTACCTTTGTCACTTCTACCAGGCGGGCTGCGTTGGTTCGGAGTGCGGTTGAATGTAGGCTCGTTTGAAAACGGAGTAAGATGAACCTGAAAGGCCTGTTGAGGCTGCGATAAAGCCGTGGTACTGGTGGATGGATAACACTACCTGGATACTGATCCTGCTGCATCGATTGGGGTTCACTTCCTGGTGGTTTGGTATTTGACCTTTAACCCCAGATCACAGCTTTGTGTTGAACTCTCTCTGACCTCTGTTTAACCTCTAAGTTGACCCCTGTTTCAGTAAAATCTGTGCCTTAAAATCAGAAAGCGGGTCAAGGTAAAGCCGTGACTTATCTCACACCACCGCTCGTATTAGCCGGCTAGCATGAGGTCCAATCAGCTTACGCTTACAGATCCCAAACCAGTTGACCCCTGTGGGACCTCGGCCCCGAGTTAAGGTAGATTTCTAAGAAATAACTAACTGTGTGTTACCTTTCAGCTGACTCCTGTAGTCATATGCTGAGACTGGAGCTGTGTAAATGTCACCTAAACAAACACGCCACTGTGGCTCTCCCATCAGCCACTGCAATCACATGCTCATTTCCGTCACTTTTACTGCAGATTAAGATGGCGGAGGGGCTTATCACAGATCAGGGCTGCTCTTACAGGCTTCATATAGAAGAATGTGCCCAGCACTGGAGGAAAGAGCGAGTAAATCTGTTGAGGAATGGCACACAGACACAGTCTTTATCATGGGCAAAGTCCCTGACCCTGTGCCCCCCAGGGCGGCACCAGAGTCAGGCACCAACAACAACCTCCACCATCGTCTCAACAAACAGTTGGAAATATGTCGTCCATCACAGGAAGACATGTTTCTATTCAGATTTTCTTTCACTTCATCATCATTCAAACAGATATCAGTTCGTTTGGAGCTCAATTTAATCTCGTTAAAAAAATATGAAAACTGATTACGCACAACAACATGGACCAAACATAAACGCTCTTCAGACTGTAGTACCCTCAGAGGTCGATGACAGAGGTTGAAGTGACCTGTTCAATCTAATCACAGACAGAGAGACAGACAGGCAGGCAGACAGGCAGACACACAGACACACAGACAGAGAGACAGACAGGAATCAAACACTGAGGTCTGGAGGAGAATCTCACTAACTTTCCTTCCAAACCTCACAAGGAGGAAAAGTGGAGGAAGTGAAGGAACTAAGGAGACGAAGGAAGAGGAAACGTCTCCAGCAGCAGATATTTCTCTTTTCTTTTGTTTTTATTCTTCAAACCGCAGATTCAAACTGGGCCGACGACCTCGAGCCAACGGAGACTCCTGACAGTCTGCCGCCGCCGCCGCCACACAACAGGAAGTCAACAAACACGGGACAAAAGGTTTCAGTGTGTTCGACTGAGACCTGATAGTTTGATTCCTCTGTCTAATGAAGAGCGTTAAACTGCAGGCTGTTGAACCCAGCGCCTGTTTATTGTTCACAACACAAACCAGCTGGAACAGAACAGCATCAACACAGAGCGCCAGTTTAACCCTCAACAGCACATCCTCACACTGTACCGCCAACGCTAACGCACGCCAAATTATTTCTACTTTATATTCAAATCTGATCATTTTTTCAAACTTTATTATCACTGTACAAACACACAACTTTATTAACACTGTACAAACACAACTTTATTA